TCTCTCTCTCTCTCCCTCTCTCTCTCTCTCTCTTTTTCTCTCTCTCTCACTTTCTCTCTTTGTCTGTCTTGCTCTCCCCTCGGGCCACACCTGGATGCTGGATTCTGTTCCTATTCCCTGCTGTTACCTGTGAGTTCCCCTTTAATAAAGCACCCCTTAATACACTCTCTTCGGAGTTGTGTGGGATTATTTGATTTGCCTTCGCCTTCTTCTGGTGCATTCCCCTTCACATTGTATACAAATTGTAAATACTCTGGTGATTGTTTTAAAAAAATAGGTGGAATAGCCTTTCGGCAATTAGGAAGAAACCTCAAATCACCTGACACTAAAGAAGGAACACTCTTAAGGTAATGTTTCTGGTCCTCTGGCACTTACAATGATTCATCTCTCTTATTCTCATTGCTCTACGAACATATGGTATGAGAGTATTGATGGGACATGACTTCAGGACTTTGTTAATTGATTGGTTGCCATTTTTTAAATTTATGTTTTTTTAAAAAACTATCCTTTTTCATTTTACATGCCAAATCCAGTTCCCACTCCCTCCCTCCTCCCGCTCCCTCTGCAGAAGCCCCATCCCAGGCCACATTCCACTCCTCAGAGAGGGCAAGGTTTCCTATGGGAAGTCAAAAAAGTCTAGAAATTGTTTCAGGCAGGACCAAGGCTCTCTTCACTATATTCAGGCTGAGCAAGGTAGCCCTCCAAGGAAAATGGGTTCCAAAAAAGCATAATGGGCAGTAAGAATAAATTCTGGTCTGACTGCCAGTGGCACTACAGTCTGCACCGGCCACATAGCAGCCACCCATATTCAGAGGGCCTATGTTGATCCTAAGTTGTTTCCCTCACTGTCAGGCTAGAGTTGGTGAGCTCCCATTAGCTCAGGTAAGCTGTTTCAGTGGGTTGACCCCTTTGCTCATATTCTTACTCCTCCTACTCTTCAACTGGACTTTGGGAGCTCAGCCCAGTGCTCCACTAAGAATCTCTGCAGCTGCTTCCATCAGTTGTTGAATGAAAGTTCTATGATGACATTTAAGATAGTCATCAATCTGAATATGTGGTAAGGCCAGTTCAGGTACCCTCTCCACTATTGTTCAGGGTCTTAGCTGCAATCATCCTTATGGATTCCTGGGAATTACTCTAGTGTCAGGTTTCTTGCTAACACCCTCATAATGGCTCTCACAATGAAGATATTTCTTTCCTTGCTCCCTGTTATATTATATACCACTATTGTACTGGTAGGGTTCTCTTGGCACGCTGGTCATTTATGTTGTTCACAGACATCATAGATAGATAGGAGTGTTGGTGACCTCTCTCCTTTGGAAGATTGTGTGAAGTCTTCTGATATACCTTGAAAACTAGTCCACAGGAGGGTATCAAGGTTATTTCCACCAAAGTATAGAATTTTCAAAACTTAGATGCAAACACTATCATTGATAGTTTGTTCTTTGTTTGTTTTTACTCTTTTTATTCTTTATTCTTTTGGCTTCTGGGGGGTCCTGCCACCCAAGTTCTAAATAAATCACACATGGAGTCTTTTTCTTTCTTATACATGCCCAGTCTTACCATATTTCTACCCAGTTTTTCTTATTTTAAATTATCTGTCTACCATTTGACTCTGGGTTGTTATCTTTCTGTATTCTTTATACCTTTCTTTACTACTTACTCCACTACTTGCTGTGTAACTACATGGCTGGCCACTGATGTCATTCAGCTCTTTATTAGACCATCAAATGTTTTAGACTGACAAATAATTTTTGCTTCAAAGAGTTAAACAAATGCAACATAAACAAAAGCAACACATCTTTACATCGTTAAGCAAAGGTTCCAGAAAATAAGCAAATTTAACAAACCTTAAAAGAATATTCTTTAACAGACAATAAAATCCTTAACATGAAATACATGGAAAAATATTGGTGTGTACTGCTAAACCAAAATAAAAATATAATTCCAAATATTACTTTGAAAAAATGGCCAATTATAAATACTCAGTGTATATATGCGCACACAAACACATATACACATACAAATATATGTGAAGGCAGTAACACAATTATATCAAAAAGTAAGCAGTTGAAATAGGACTGATATGAACTATAAATTGGTTTCAAGAGAGAAATTGAGAACATTTTTAAGCAAAATTTCCAAATAATAAGATACAAATACCTCCCTTCCTAGTTATTAAGGAAAACACCTCATCTGGTATCCATATCAATATATCTACCAAATATAATGAGTCTATGTGATATTTTATAAGGCTTTATTTAAAACCTAAGACTGGAAAAATGGAGACAAAATGTGAGATGGATTAAAGTTAAGAAATATCCCATTTTATTCATAGCATCAGACAATAATTGGAGGATTAGAAAAAGTGGTCACATGAGTAAAGTTCTCATGAGTTCTAGCTTTACAATCACAGGAACACACAAGTGGGAAAAGTATGTTTTTTTTTTCCAGAGAAGCATCTAAAGCATAGTTTAAACATTTAAGTGAATAATTACCAACCACAAACCATAATGAGGAATCAAAAAGTAAACTTGATTTTTTTTCATGTGGAATTTCCCTCTGTATGCTGTGAATATGTTTTATTACCATTGGTCAATAAAGAAGCTCCCTTGACCTATGACAAGGCATAATAGAGATAGATAGGCAGAAAAATTAAACTGAAGAAAATGAGAAAGAAGGTAGAGTCAGGCAGATGTCTTGTAACTGTTGAAAGAGAAAGACACCAGAACAAGAAATGGGTTAATTTATGATGTAAAAGCTAGCTAGAAATAGACCTGAGTCATCAGCCAAACAGTGTTGTAATTAATATAGTTTCTGTGTGATTACTTGGGTCTGAGCAGCTGGGAACCATAAGCACAGCTTTGGTCTATAGATTTATTTGCTGTATCTTGGGGGAACACAAAAATACATTCCAAGGACAATTCCATGTTTTGAAGAAACTGAGGTCACCAGATTCTTGTGTTGCTTGTACTATTCTCACCGGCACTCAGAATGCTTTTCATATTACTACACTTCTAGACCATGATCTTATAGAAGGTGGTTTCAATTTTAAATGAAATATACAAAGAGGACTAGCAAAACAAATTCTTACTTCTGGGTATGGCAGACTAGGTTATCTCCCCCAGCCCTCTTACTTAAAATATAAAAACAGCATCATTGACATTAGCAACAAAATATAAAAGTTAATTTCCCAATCAATAAACAAATAAATAAATACTGCCAAACTCAGCCATATTGGAGATAACAGGAACAGGTAGGACAAGGAAAAACTATAGAGAGATTTCCTTTTTTTTCGTGATTTTATTTATTTCTTCCCTTTTTTATTACTTAGAAAAAATACCAATCCAAATTCCCACTCTCTCCCCTCCTCCCAGTCTGCTCCCTCTCCCTCCACAGACTCTCCCTCCACCCCTCCAACCCTAAGGGAGTGCCATGCCCTGTGGAAAGTCCAAGGCCCTCCCTACTACAACTAGGTTGAGCAAAGTTAACATCCAAAAGAAATAGGATCCCATGAAGCCGGTATATGCAAGTAGAGACACATCCCAGTGTCACTATCAGTGGCCCCTCAGTCTGCCCCTAGCTGTCAACCCACTTCAGAGGGGCTTGGTTGTTTCCATGCTCGTTCACCTCTAATACAGATGGAGTTGGTGAGCTCCCATTCATTAGCTCAAACAAACTGTCTCAGTGGATGAGCCCTTCATGGTCTTGAATTCCTTGCTCATACTCTCTCCCTTCACTCTTCAACTAGATCTTGGGAGTTTAGTCCAGTGCTCTGATGTGGGTCATTGCCTCTTTTCCCCATCTGTTGTTGGACAAAGGTTCTATGGTGATATTTAAGATAATCATCAGTCTGACTACAGGGTAAGGTCATTTCAGACACCCTCTCCTCTATTGCTTAGAGTCTCAGCTGAGTTCATCCCTGTGGGTTCTTGGGCATTTTCTAGCACCAGGTTTCTTGCTAACTCCACCATGGCTCTCTCAATCAAGATATCTCTTCCCTTGCTCTCATATCTGTTCTTCATCCATCTCAACCATCCCATTCCCCCAAGTTCTCCTCCACCTCCTTTCTCCCACACCTCTACCCCCTGCCACCCAAATTTTTGTCTGATTACAATTTCCAGGTGTGTCTATATATGTTTTTCTTTGGGTTCACCTTATTACTTGGTTTCTCTAGGATCCTGAGCTATAGGCTCGTCACCCTTTGTTTATGACTAGTATGCACTTATGAGTGAGTTCTAAGATGTAAAACAGGGATTCTGATTTTAATATTTCTTCTAATTTCTCTCCAGACACTATTGCTAATCAGGAATAAATTTAAAATTCAAAATTAAATGCAATTACAAAAATTTAGTTCTCTGACATCACTAGTTTCATTTTGGTGCTCGTAAATCACATGAGATTAATGGCTGCCATATTGAAAGCTGGAGAACTACTCTGGCACAGGACAAGGGAAAGTGCCTATGGAAGGAAATGATTTAAAGATTCTACATTAGTGAAGGCCTTGATAATCTCAGGGAATGAGGGGAAGAAATTGCTGAACTAATGCTACTTGGGAGGAAAGAGCTGAAGTTAATGAAATCTACTTTTCTTCTGTCTTTTCCCTTAGTAGGAAGCAACAAAGAATAAGGATTCGCTAGAAATAACATATTATTATGGAAAATGAGCTGGCTTTTTGCCCTTTAATCCCAACACTTTGGAGGCTGAGGCAAGCAGACCTCTGTGAGTTCAAGGCCAGCCTGATCTCCATAGAGATATTGAGGACAGGCAGAACTATGTAGAGAGACCCTACCTCAAGACAAACAAAAACAAACAACAAATAACGATGTTTTGGTGTTCCTATGGACAAAATAGAGCAGGCTTAACTAAGACAAATATTATGTTATTAACACATTGTATATTTGGAATTATGCACTTACACTAGCAGAGTAAGGTGACTTTACAAGAAGGAAAAGTCAGGAATTCATGACCAAATAAAATAATAATACAACATGACTATGTCAGGATATATGACCCATTGCAGTGAGACTTTATTTAAAGAAGACTATGTATCTACTTGAACCTGCCAAATAGAAATAAAATCTCCCTGTGATATAAAAGTACCAATGAGTATAGACAAAGACAAAGTTACAAAAAACTATAATAGAATTAATGATGGGGTTACAGAGAGGTTCCTCCTTTTATGGTGATTATTCAGATTGCTATTTCAGGGCATGTTGACCAATTTACAGACTTGATAAGAGATGACAGTTGATTTAATGAAAAAGAATGTTCAAGGCAGAAAACTACTGCAATACAGCCTGTTGTCAACATTATGAAATTACACTTAAAGCTTCAATACAAAATTTTCAAGTTCCCTCTAGTTCATTTGCCTAGTTAAAGACATAATTTAGCTAATTAGGACCATCTGTACCAATGGAGACGTAGCTCTCACCCTTTGTCTAGGGCTGTTCTGTTCTGCCAAAGAAAATATTGGGGAAATCTTTCAGAGGGTTGAAGGGGAGGAGAGAGGCAGAGAAGGGAACAGAGAAAAATATAGAGCTCAATAAAAATCAACAAAAATTCTTTCCGAATTCATCTAAACAACAACTTTCTTAATCTTTAATAAGAAGAAAATAGAGACAGAGATATTTCCCTACAAACATTGCCACTTCTTCATACTGTAGACTTATAATATGCATTGCTAAAGTCTTGTTTAGCCATTAGTAGAAGGGGAACAGTTGTTCTTGTTGGTAATACCAACTTGATTCATCTTCTAAGTAAGAGTACTTTTCTAAATCTCATGCATCACTTCATGACGACCTCAGTGTCATCTTCCTTAGGACAGCCTTCTCATTCTACTTACCTCATTGCAACTTCTCTTCTGGAAAAGAAAAGAAAAGAAAACTAAGAAAAGCATCCCAAAACGATACCACCAATCATCTTTTTTGAGAATTCCCTTCTTTTTACACCAGATAGATGTGACTACACTTTCATTTCTCATTTACTTTAATTGTTCACTATTGTTTGGATATACTGGAATAGTATTGTCTAAAAGAGCAAGTTTTCTAGGATGCACAATCTATGTTACTTAACTAGAGAGAAAAGATATGCATGATGATTTATTTTTCTGTATTGTTTGGCCTTTCTAAATTATATGTTTCTCCAAATCTGAGTCTGGGTTTTACAGGACAGAAAAGTCAGTTATGTCATTGTTGCAGTCTTTCCTGAGTCAAGGGATATTAGATCTTCATTCTTCTCTGGAACTTTAATTCTCTCTTACATATTTTATGTTTAATATCTATGGTTTTATTTGTTCTCACTATGGACCAGGTAAGCTGAAATCCCTATGAAGAAACTATAGTTCTACATGTTGTCCAAGAGTTTCTGATGAACAATCACTATGTGACGCATAAGACCCAAGCCGAGGTCCCCAGTTAGTTCCTTGGGCAGCTGAGAAGAGGAACCTGAAATGACCCTATCCTATAGCAATACTGACGAATATCTTGCATATCATCATAGAACCTTCATCTGGTGATGGATGGAGATTGAGACAGAGACCCACACTGGAGCACTGGACTGAGCTCCCAAGGTCCCAATGAGGAGCAGAAGGAGGGAGAACATGAGCAAAGAAGTCGGGACCACGAGGGGTGCACCCACCCACTGAGACAGTGGAGCTGTTCTACTGGGAGCTCACCAAGGCCTGCTGGACTGTGACTGAAAAAGCATGGGATAAAACTGGACTCTCTGAGCATGGCGAACAATGAGGGCTGATGAGAAGCCAAGGACAATGGCACCGGGTTTTGAACCTACGTAATGTGCTGGCTTTGTGGGAGCTTAGCCAGTTTGGATGTTCACCTTCCTAGGAATGGACGGAGAGGGGAGGACCTAGGACTTACCGCAGGGCAGGGAACCCTGACTGCTCTTTAGACTGGAGAGGGAGGGGGAGAGGAGTGGGGGGAGGGGGAGAAGGGTGGAAGGAGGGGGATAAGGGTGGGAGGAGGGGGAGGGAAATGGGAGGCTGGGAGGAGGTGGAAACTTGTTTTTTTTTCTCCTTTTCTCAATAAAAAAAATGGAAAAAAAAAGGAAAAGGGTTCAGATGTGGATCCACATCTGTACATCAAGATAAAAAACAGGTGGGGCAAATAAATAGAAAGCTAAAGATAACATGATATAAAGTGAGTGATGAGCTCTGTATGCACTTGATGTATAACTACCAAATATATACAAATACAGGCCACATCGCATCGTGTGTATGTATGTATGAGTGTACATGTATATGTGTGTGTGTGTGTGTTTGTAACTGCAAGTGTGCAGGTGTGTTGCATGTATATATGCATATATATTGATATAATATAATCATATACTATATAATAGATATAATATATAGTCTGTATATATTCTCTACTCATGTGAATATGTGCATGTGTATACACATACACACATATATGTGCATACACATGTGGTACATGCATATATGTATGTTTATATACATGTTAAACATGCATACATGTGCCACATATGCATGTATATATGCATGTTAAACACACATCCATCCATGTGAGTAGATGACATATTTACATATAACACACATATGAGTATATATACACACATGTTTACAAATGTGGTACATGTGTATACATATGCATATATACATGTGAATGTATGCTATATATACTATATATAGGTTACATTGCTATATATACTATATAGGTTCTATACTCACAAGTATATGCACATGCACACACACATTTATATACACACCTGTACATGTGTAAGTGTGGTACATGTATGTTAGTAAATATGAATACACACAAAAGTTATCTATTTCCTTTTTATATCTATGTACTTTTTACTCATCTTCAATTTTAAAATAATTTTCAATTAGTAAAGCATTGCACCTCAAAATTTTGGAGAATATCTCATATTTATATTTTAGTTATTTGACATTCATTTTCTATTATTGCATAATTACAGAAAATAATGTTAAAGGAAATTTGAAGGAAGCACACGAGTAGAAAGATATAGTTTTTCTTCTGAGCATGACATTTTAATTAATAGTTCTACTCTTAGATGCAGGGTATCCCAGAAAATTATACTTAAAAGTATAAAGTTATTTCTTCACTACCATAGATATCAACACATCCATCATTTATATATCCTTGTGGAAATATTATTCCTCTCATAAATAATATTTTTCACCAGATACATCATAATGCTATTCAGTGTGCAAATGAAGCTTGCTACGGAAAACTACAGCCTAATTAATTTCTAAGCCCAATCAAGAAATTAAGTTAGTTGAGAGCTGACAGTTTTAGAATATGAAAGACCTATATTTACATATTTTACTAATTAAACTTGTAATTATTCAATACTTTTCCTTCTTTAAGCACTTAATTTCACTGTTTAAGTCAATTTCCTCTGGAGTGGAGCAGTACATGATAACCAGCCATATTCCTCTAAGAGAAACCATGGGGTTGTGAACTTTACTGGTAGGTTCTCTCAATCTGTTTTCATGTTAAAATAGGTTAATTTTAGAGCTGACATAGAAAATGCTCCAATGAGTATGCATTTATATCTGCCCCTTAACACACTATTTGAAATTGGGTGTGGCATGTTAACACGAAGCCATTAAAAAACCATAGATTACAAAGGAGAACTTATGCAGCTTCATGTTAACATTATTAAAAATAGTATAACCTTACCAATCCAGTGATATTTATGACATTGCTATTTGTCATAAAATAGTCATGATAATTCATGTATACACAAGAATAAAACTATGTTTCATTGACTATAGTAGTTTGTAAGAAATCTGACAATTACAATTTTTCATAATTTTACATCTTTAACCTATAGGACAAAGTTGCTTAGAGATGTCAGCTATGAAATAATGCTAATTATTGGCAGGGAAATTGAGGTGTTTTTATTATTTATTAACCCAATTACAAAAATATTTTAGTTTTATAGCTATTACTTTCATAGGGGATATTTATGTGTTTATAAATTCTTTAATGACTGCATGTCTCTATTGTAATTAATATGACTCTTTCACACTTCTACTCACAATTTGACCTGTATAATACTTGTATTTGTATGACCTATTTCCCTTTCAAAGTTGGTTTAATAAGAGCAGTGACCACAGTAGCTATTGAGACCTATGTTCTATCAACAGAGCTGGTAAATCTCACACACAGAGGCAATTGTCATGAGCAACATTACTAAGTTCTGTTGTCAAAAGAATACAGAAGAAATAAGTATTTATTCCTTACAGACTTTCTTCCATAGTGTTAGGCTCATTTGTGGGACAGTGGTAAGTGCATTTTAAATGGTCTTTTTGCCACAGACTTCATGACTTGCTTAATTTTTTTTTCCATTACTTTGCTCAATTTTCAATTTCTTATTTGGGCCTCAAAAGAAACAGAATAATACAAGACGCTACAAAACACAAAAGGGTTTACATTGAATGTTGGATTATATTAACCAAAAATTTCTCTAATTACAATTTTCTGTTTTTAGGGATGTTATTTTTAATGTCATTTAATTTATTTAATTGAGAAACAAAAGAAAAAATAGAAGTACACAATTATTTAAGACGATGCCTAAAACCTCTTACATTTTTAAAGGCTATTTATATATATTGCATTTTAAAGTGGAACTCTACTTAAAGTTTTTAATTCAAGATAAAAAACCTTTTCTTATTAATGAGTATATTTACAGTCCTTAACTTATTACACAAGATGAGTAAAAAGGTTCAATCTTATTGAGAGGTGAACACAGAAAATTTTATTATATATTCCCAATACAGATAGTTATATCTTATTCTTTGGAATTTTCTAAATTGCTGTTTATTGTAAATTAAAAAAGATCAAATTTTGTCCTACAACAAATAATAGAGAAATATTATCAAATTATACCAAGTAAGATTTGTCATAGATTTATTCATGTCTTTATATAGTATTGGTTTTGAATATTTGCAAAGCCCCACGCTTATATGATATTCATGTACAATTATAGACCTAAACCTGGGGGTGAATAGTAAATCTCATTTACATGCAGAGTTTAAGACATCCTTTATTGGAAAAATTCTTTCTCTGTATAAAGAAAATACATCCTTCCTTGTTTCTCTAGCTCTAAATTTAGTTGTTTGCACATTTCTCCTCTACCTGCCTCCATCAACTTCCCCCTTCTCCTTGGAATTCTACCAACATTAGAGTTTAGTTGCCAGAATAAATACTCAAGAAATATATATGTATATATACACACACACATTTCATGTGATCTATCCTAAAACGATCTATGGATTTATATAAATCAGTAGAATTTTTAAATTTTTTTATTACATTATAAAAAATACCAATCAAAATTTCCACTTCCTCCCCTCCTCCCACTTCCCTACCGCTTTCCCCCCCCACACACACACACCCCTCCCATTCCAGTCACAAGAGAGGGGAAGGTACCCTTCCCTGTGGGAAGTTCAAGGCCCTTTCCCCTACATTCAGGCTTAGGAAGGTATGGATCCAAATAGATAGGATCCCCAAAAGCCAGTAGAGACAAATCCCAGTGCCATTATCTTTAGCTTCTCAGTCTGCCCCAATAGTCAGCCACATTTAGAGGGTCCAGTTTGATCCTCGCTCGTTCAGTCCCAGTCCAGCTGGATTTGGTGAACTCCCATTAGAACAGGCACACCGTCTCAGTGGGTGGCCAACCCCTCGTGGTGCTGACTTCCTTACTCATATCCTCCCTTCTTCTGTTCTTCAACTGGACCTTGGGAGCTCAGTCCAGTGCTCCAATGTAGGTCTCTGTTTCTATCTCCATGCGTTGCTGGACGAAGGTTTTATGGTGAAATTAAAGATATTCATCAGTCTGACTATGGGACAAGGC